CCCCAAAACCCCAAAACCCCGTTATTCTAATTCGATAAGATCAATAGAGTAGAGTAAATAATTAATTCTTTTTTTAATTTAAAAATGCCATTCAAAAGGGTTTCTTAATGAATGGGGGTTTCTTAATATGTTAATATATACGCATTCATCATCAAGAATGCTAAGTAAAAATATCAATAAAATGGTTATGAAATTAAGTTTAAAAGTAAACATATTTTAATTGATACTCATTCTTAATTACTTTATTCGTGCACTATTTTTTCATTACTCTGCTCAGGCAAGTCCAAATCTAGTAATGGCTATTCAATAGTCTATATGATCTTCCTCATGAAGTCTTAGAATCTCTTAGCATAGAGCTAGGGTGGCAAGCAGCTCATTGAACTTCCATACTTGAGTCTCTTGTAACTATATTCTATTCTCTTCCTGCTGTTGTACTCAGTTAGAATATCAATTATTCCAGCTATGTAAGCATTTCCATCTTCGGTGAAATAGATGCCATCACTTCTGATCTCTCCAGTTAGTATTTATTCCCTGATAATTTCAGGATTCTTTAATCTACCTAGCAACAAGGAATAATCAAGAATCTTGGTCTAAGCAAAGAACTCAGCGTCTTTCACTAAAATATCCTCAAGTCTGGGCTTGGTATCATTTGGCTCTCTTGTAAACCTGATATGTTTAATATTATCAATGAAATCAAGATCTTTAAGGGCTCTCTTTATATCAGATTCAGCAGCAATAAGGGTATCGTCAGCCTTTAAGGTTCTCCTTCCCTATGTTGAGCCTTTCAAGTCAAATCTAATACCAACATCAAAGCTTTTAAAGATATTGTTCATAACGACAAGATATTTTTTGTGAATAATAGCTTAAACCTTCCAAGATACTTTGTGCAAGCCAAAGAATCTAGTAATGAGAGTACTTGGATTCTACTTGATGTGGTTGTAATACTACTTTAAAATCTCCTTAAGCTTTTTGAATTCATCTCTGCTTATAGTTTTGATCATGTACTTTTAATCCTCTGTGTAGTAAAACAGACTACCACTTTTGCCAGAGCTACAAAGCTCATACAAGGACTGATAGTTGTTATTCCAGAAGCAGTTTAGGATACTATCTGGCCCTAGAGAGTATAGATAATCTTCCTCAGAAATTTCTGATAAACGTCTAATTCTCTAAAATACCAATGGAGCATAATCAAAGAAGACGAAATCCTTGATTTTCTAATCATTTTAGCTGTGAACATTAGAAATCCATTAATTTTCTAATCTTTGTCTTGTTAAAAATTGCTTATCCCCAAGTTCCATAAAAGGTATCTCAATCAAGTTAGAAATAGCTTTCTTTATCCCAATCATAATGTTTAAAATCAAGTCAAACTTCTAATGACCTATCCTGATCACTTGCCCATCACTGTTCGCTAATTCCTCACCATTCTAAGTTTCGCCAAGTGCTGTTGATTTTTATCCATTTCTTGAAAATTTTTGAGATTTATTTTGTACCTTAGATTTTCTTTTTGAATCTATTTCATTTCTCTAGCCTTGGACAATTTCATCTAAATTTTATCGGAATTTATCAATGTATTCCTTAACAATTTATGCCTTATTAATCATACTTTCTTGAAGCAATTTGGCATCATTTTTGTGAGTGTCTGTTTTTAAGCTTTCGTCTTGTCTTTCATTTATACTGAGAAATTTTTCAGCATCAAGTGATTCTCTCATGATCTATTGAAGATGTTTTGATGGTGTTTCAAAATTGCCAAGAGACTCTGGAGTATTGAGAAATATGGGTAACTTGGAAATTTTTTAGGCTTTGAGATTCACAATTCTGGCGCTCTCTGTTTCTCTTTAACTTGTTTAAGGCTTCTTCTTTTCTACTATTCTACTCATTGATGGCTTCTTATCAAAACTTTTAACATCATATGCTATAGGCATGTTTTTCCTGTCATCATCATTTCTCTCAGAACTCAATAATGACATGTTCTCATCTGTCTAATCAAAATTAGATTCAGAATGGCTATCTTCTTCATAAGGTAGTTTTTCATCCTCTCTTTAGTATATCTCATGCTCTTGATTTACTACACTTTATTTGGTATTTTTCCTAGTTATCTGCTTAAAATTAAGATTTGGATTAATCTACGGTGAGTCAAAATTAGGGCTACCCTAGGCTGAAATTTATTGGTTTATAGTTAGAATAATGTCATTAAGATTAATTGATCTTTAAAAAGGTATATTATGATTGAGAAAATGCTCTGTGGGTCTATCATTAATATCTCCTTTTAGAGGAGAAGGGGAAATATTAAGGTCTGGAAATTTTCCCAACTTTGAATTCTGAAAGTAAGAAACATTCTTCATTACAGCAGCAGCATTCTTAGAGGACGGTCTCATTTATGGATTTGCTAGTGTCTTACTCCTCAAGAAGCCTCCAAATGAAGGTTTCTTATTTGATAAGTCTCTTGATGTATAATGTCTTTATAGTCCAAACTGATCTTCGAGTAATTACTCTATTTAGTCAAATGCCCCCATCACTTCATTGTGATAGTCTTCTAATACTTTAATATCAATTTTGTGGTTATTGAGAGCTTCTTTTACGTTTTCCTACATAAAATAACCAGGTTACTCTAGCCACTCAAGAAGTTAAGGATTATTACTTTTAGCCTTCTCAAATGCAGGGAAATCGAAAAATTATTTATCTCCTGCTATCTCCTTAAAAGCAAATTAGACTAATTCTTCCTCGTATTGGAGCCTAGTCTAAAGTGCCTCTCCATATAGTTCGATAAATTAACTCCAGAACACTTTAAAGTCATCATAAGCAACTTTGCCTTGTCCTTAAATATCAAATATTTTAAAGGTAATGAAGTCTTTTTCTCTTTCTTCCCCATGTGAAACTATATCATTATAGATGAGATAATCTTCAAGTGATATCAATCCATCTCTATCGTCATCAATTGCTTGAAACATTCTCTCACTTATTTTGAAGTTCCCTAAAATACCCAGAATCTCCCTGAATGCTTATAGGTCCATCATCCTTTTATCATCTTTTACTATATTAGCCTAGGTTTCAAATCTCTCAATGAGAGTAAATAACTCATGCATAGTTGATCCAAGTTTTCTATCACATTTTCTTTCAATCTCTTCCTTTTGATTTTAAATAACTGGCTACTTTTATTTTTTGAGTGGCTTGGCAATGAATTTCTACCCCTTAAACTCAGAAGGCTTTTTGCTTGCACACGAGCAGAACATTAAAATTTTAATTTTATTCTTTAATTATTTTTTATCAATTAGAAAAACTTCTTAGTTCAAGAATTAACTTAATTTGATGTAGCTTGGGGTTTTGGGGTTTTGGGG